ATTTGTTTACACCTCTTTAGAATTTCTATACAGTTTCATATTTGTCCAACAGATCCGAATCTGTTCAAACCCAAAATAGGTTTTTATTTGTTTGAAAATCAAACCAGATCTGTCTGAACATGTACCATACCTGTTGAATTCAAATTGAAGAACAGGTACAATACCTGTTGAATTCAAACTGAAAGGCCACAATTCCATCTATAAATAGGCAGTCTTTCATTTAGTTTTTTCACTCAAATTTTCGTCCCAAATTCTGCTTGTTCTCTCTGCATTTTGCGACATCATTTTCCTTGTGAGAAAGAATGTAAACACTTAGTGTGTTCGTTGTGTGAATAGTGTGTAGTGCTGCTACTATTTGTTGTTGATCATTTTATCCTAGGAGATAGACGCCAATAATCTGAAAGTACCGTGGAGAGGACGAATTTGTCTTAAGGACGCAATGTTAAACACCAAACTTGATTAAAACTTTGTTCGAGAAATTAATAAAGTAAGTTGTTAATTTATTTTCTATTTTATTATTTATTTATATCAGATTTTGATTTTGTTTTTGTAACAAAATAAAAATCTATTTTTTAATTTATTTATTTTTATTTACTAGCCATGTCAAACACTTTGGGAGGGACCAATGTGAGTTGTGGAAACGTACGGAACTAGCATGAGACTCCCGGTTTGAAAACTAAGTCCAAAATTGTATTTTTTCACACTTAAGCTTGAAAATAGACATTCGGGGGCAAAAATCGTGTAACAGCCACAGGACGGCCCAGGGAACACCTCAAACACGTTAGGAGGAACCAATGTAAGTTGTGGAAACTAATGGAACTTACATTGGACTCCCGATTTGAAAACTAATTCGAAAAATGCATGTTAAATTCTATAATTTATGGATAAGATAATAATTGTCTAACTTGTATTTTTTTCTTTTCATTTTTTTGCAGATTCGAGATTTGATATGGACATGTTTGGTAATTTGGAGGGCAGATGATAGCTCATTTTGTGTTTTTGTTCGTATTACCTTACATGTATTTTGGTTGCGTTGTAAATTTTATATTTTTGTTGGTATTACAGGGCATGTGTGGTAATCCGCCCTTGATATTTTATTTTTGCTGATATAAGTAGACATGTTTTTTGTTGGATATTAGGAGATGTGTTTGGTAATCCGCATGCGGTTGTGTAACAAGCCCGCGGGGGACCTCGCCACAGCTCGGACTCGACTTTCGTAGTCACGGTTCTTAATCTGAACCAAAGAGTCCGAATCCGGCTTTGTGGATAGTGCTAAAATTCGATTGTGATGATTATGAAAATGAACAGATTTTTGTATTGATTTGTAATAGATATTTTATTGAACATGTTATTGAAATGCGCAAGGAATTGTTACTGAAAAGAAAAAATTTCGGAAGAAAATAGTACCCAAATTTTCAAATTTTTATTAGTGACGAAATAAAAAATGTCGCTATTAGTTTTCAAAAAACATGACGAATAATTTTGTCACTAATGATATAGTACGAAACAAATAATTTCGTCACATTTGCTGAATATTTCGTCGCTAAATTGAAATATTTGGTGACAAAATATTTTTTGTCATTGAAAAATTTTCTTTTTTGCTCATTTTAGTGACGAATTTTTTTGTCACCTTAATCCATATCATTGGTGAGGAAAACTTTCGTCACTAAAATATATTTGGTGACGAAATATTTCGTCGCCAAAAACAATTAAAATAAAATATTATTTAGTTTTGGTGACGAAATTGATGTTTTAGAGGATGAAAAATTCAACATTTGGAGACGAAACATTTCGTTGCCAAAAATGAAAAATAGGCGATGAAACTGTTTTTCGTCACCAGATACTTTCAGCAACGACGTATAGGCCACGAACGTGGTGACAAAATTTTTTCGTCGCAGATCACTTTAGTGACGAAAATTCGATGTTTAGAGACAAAATCAGTCTGTCACCAAAGGCTTTTTTTGTTGTAGTGTGGTTTGATTTTTGTAATTAAACAATCTCTCTCATTTTCTTTATTTCTTTTGTATTCTGTTTGTTGTTAAGTACACACACAAAATTTATTTTTAAATATAGTGAAAATTGTCCAACAACAATTGAACAAGAACAATCAAGCAATTGTGCAATTGATTCAAATGCCTCAAAACAATGAGGACTTCTCTGTATCAATTGACAGTTACAAAGTAAACAAAGGATAATTTCAAAATGAAACTATCAAAGTTTACGAAGTTACCAGCCACAAACTACTAAAGAAATTACTCTTAAGTTGTAGAACTACTCCTAAGATAAAACTAATTTGTTGTTGTGTTGTTGATGATTTCCTTCTGCTTGCATCTTCATTGCCTATTTATAGACTTCAAACCGATGGCATCCTCTTTGTAATTGCTAGAAATATTGCTACCATCCGGCCACGTTTTTTTTGCATGAATATCAACCGCGTTCCAATCTTCTAATCTTCAATCTTCCACTTTTCACATATCTAGCATCATGGTTGTAAACTCCACAACTGCTCCACTATTTGCCCAAGTTGCCACTTCTTCAGTTATGCCATATATTCTTGGAATCATTGCATCTTGCGAAAGCATTATAAGGAACAATAATAATAAATCTAAATACAAATATAGTAATGAAATATCCCCATAATCACTTAACAAGATAATTTGTGGTCTGAATTGATAAATAAAAGTCGACAAGCCACAATTAATTAAACTAGATTTGACCATAATTGATAGGCCACAATCAATTAGACTAGATTTGGCCATAGTCGACAAAAAACAATTTATGGTTTACTGCCTTTTCTCTCTAAAGCAAGACTGAATTTCACAAGCATTGCTACGTGTCCCTCATAAATTGTTGACCCATATCGACAGGCCATCTTGCCATTTACAAGCACTAAATGCCTCCTAAAATTGTCCCATTATTCTTTCAACTGCTTATAATAATCCACTGATTGCCTTCACCACATTGCATATACATTGGCCCAAGAAGTAAAACATCTACAAAGCTTCTTTGCCACATGTCATAAGCAGTTTTTCATTCCCTATTGACCGAGGAGTTACAAAAATGGGTGCAAACACCTCTAAAAGCTGTGGTGGAGGGACTAGAAGCTAAAATAAAAGCTCGATCCTGTTGAATTAATTTTGACAAATACTAATTGTCAGTGATTATGGGAGATGGAGTTTTGTCAACTTTATTCACACACATTGGAAATATAAATAAAATATATATTTTTTATTTTTTCAAAATAGTGAGGTTGTATTTAGATTATGAATTCAGATAAAAAATTTAGAAAAAAAAAAGAAAGAAAAGATATGTAAAAGTATCTATATTTCATTCATATTTACTTATCATTTTTTTTCCTTTTAAATTTCTACCTAAATTTATAATTTAAACACAATTTATAATTTATAATTTTAGATGTGATGAGTATAGTTTAATATATAGGACTCACTGTTTTAAATCAAACCCGTGTGGACAAATTCATTTTCAGTGTGTGAATGCTGGAAGCGGGTCAAGCAAGCACCAGTGAAAGTTCAAACTTGGAAAGTGCCGTCTCTGCTCAAATACCGCGTTATAAAGGCAAACAACAACAAATGCAATGTACCAAGAGGCATCAGAAACTCAGCAAAGGGCACAAAACTACCAAATCCATTTCTACAAGCCTAACAAAAAGAATCGCTCTGTTTGATTTTTATTTTCAAAATTTACTTTTTAGAAAATTTTACTTTTTTATTTTTTATATTTTTTATATTTTCACTGATTTTTTTTATAAATATTTTAAGAATTTTTTTTAATTTTTAAACACACCTAACATAAATATACTTAAAAAGTATAATATTTAGAAAAAAAATCTTTAAAAAATTCAATAAATAAAAAAATACAAAAAAAAAATGAATAAAAATTCAGTATATTTTTCATATTTTTGTGTATTTATTAATTTTTTAAAATATTTTTTCACAAATATTTTACTATTTAGATACATGCATCTAAAAAAGTAAAAAAAGTTATTTAAAATTTTAAAAATATTAACTAAAAACAAAAAAATACGAAGAATAAAAAACTCAATTTAAAAAAAATTAAATTCAAAAAATTAAAATCAAACACAATGTTTTCTCTTCTTTTTTTTTTCCCCCAACAACATAAATGTTATCTACTTAAAATTTTTATTTAAAAAATATTTAAAATTTAAATATATGGTATAAATTTAAATTTGAAAAAAAAAAATTGTGAGATTTTGTTAAAAGAAAAAAACTTGCTGCTAAGAAACAGGCAATGGAAATCTTGAAATAATCATTAAGATCCCACTTAGCCTCCATGTGTTTTGGCTGAAATTTTTTTTTCAAAATATAATTTTCATAAAAAATGTTTTCTTATGCTTTGCTGCATTCTTAAAATTAATGTACTAATGGTTGCATTAATGGTGGTAGTAGTGGCAGCGGCATAGTAGAGGTGATGGCAGTTGAGGCAGCGGCAATGGCAGTGGTCGTGGTTGTGGGTGTGGTGGTGGAGATGATGATAGTGGTAGTAATGTACTGGCATTCAAAAAATATTTGTCGCCTTTTAAAAGTGAAAAATATATTTCATCCAAATATGCTTATTTTCCGTTGATCAAGAAAAATGTTTTTCGTTAACTACTGAAAACGTTTTCCATTGATTTTTATTTTCCGTTATACTAAACTCCAGAAAATGCGAAAAGAATTTTTTAGAAATTATCTTTTGCCCAAACAAATAGAATGTTAAAAGAGATTTTCTTTCAAAAAGACAAATAAATAAATAGGGTTGCTACATATTACTGGATGAATTTCAAATCATTTTTCCAAAACGGCGAAATTCATTGTTTTGGAAAATATTATTCTTCAAAAATAAATTTCAAATGAAAGATGAGTTTCTTAATACTTTCCTTTTGGTTGTAAGTCATGAAAATGGATGGAAAATGTCGTAGCCATGAAAATGATAGAATAGATCGAAGGGAAATTTCTATGAGAATTGCTCAAAGTAGTCATGAAAATGGATGGAAAATGTCCACAGCGAAAAGTCCATACAAAGAAAAAGAAAATTAAAAAGAAAGAAAGATGGAAGAGTATTATTATAAGTTCTCACATGTAGGCTAAGACAACACCAGCAATGGCTTCTTCAGCTCTTTTACGACTTTACTCTCTTTTACTTCTTTTTCCTCTCTTTCCAGTTGTTTTTGCCATCAACAAATCTAACTGTAATGTTGAATTGGGCAAAACTTTGTCAGTAGGAAATGACATTAATTGGCCTTCACAATCTGGTGATTTTGCCTTTGGATTTCAACGAGTCGAAAAATCTAATGATGGAAATATGTTGTTCCTGCTAGCCATATGGTTCGATAAAATACCAAATAAAACTATAGTTTGGTCAGCTAATGATGGTGTTCCAGCAAGGGAAGGATCAATAGTTAAACTGACCAAAGATGGGGGGGTTCAACTCTTTGACCCCGAAGACAACGTCATATGGAACGCTACAACCAACGTTGCAGGATCGAAATCCAATTGTGCTGCTATGCTTGATACGGGGAACTTTGTAGTTCTAAACGAAGATTCTTTTCCGATATGGGAGAGTTTCCAAGACCCACGTGACACAATCTTGCCAGGACAAATATTGGCCAACGAAGGGAAGCTTTGGTCTCGCTTGTCAGAGACAAATTACACTAATGGACGATTCTTGCTTCATATGCAGGGCGATGGCAATCTTGTGATGTACACTGTATCAATGCCAACCGGAGACAAGAACGGGGCTTATTGGGCTAGTGGAACTTTGCAAGCTAATTCCAAAGCTCAATTGATCTTTGCTGAGAGTGGTGAATACATTTATGTGGAAGAAGGGACTCGAAATGTATACAACTTTACAATAGACAAGACGGGTTTAAAACAAAATTCCTATCACATGGCAAGGATCGACAATGACGGAGTCTTCAGACTATATAATCACCCAAAATCGACCGGAGCCCAAAGTGATTGCAGCTTGTCTTGGTCAGCTGTACAACACATTCCCGATGATGTTTGCTTAATCACAGGGAGTCTCGGCAGTGGCGCGTGTGGATACAATAGCTATTGTGTTGACATTGATAGCAAGCCCACATGTTTATGCCCAGATGGGTATTCACCCGTGGATCCATTTTACATCCAAAGAGGCTGCAAACCGATTTTTCCCGTACCTAGTTGCCAAGAAGATGGATGGGAGACAAAGCCAGAGATGATAGATTTTAAGGAATTAAATGATATAGACTGGCCATTAGCAGATTATGAACTACAGACTGCAGGAAACAAAGAGACTTGCATCGAATATTGCCGCAACGATTGCTTCTGTGCTGCTGCGATTTATGGTGGGAATAGTTGTTGGAGGAAGAAGTTTCCTCTTTCCAATGGAAGAAAAACCATTAGTTTAAATAAAACAGCTCTGATAAAAGTACCTAAGGGATATCCAGGTAAGAAAGATAATTCCACCTTGATCCTCGTTGGATCAATAATCCTTGGCAGCTCTTTATTTTTCAATTTCCTTCTGCTGTTAGGCATTTCAGTTTGTGCTTTCATCTCATATCGGAAGACATTGCTAAATATGCAGTCAAGGTCAAACACTTCTGCAATGAATGTGACAAGCTATGGATACAAAGAGCTTGAAGAAGCAACCGGTGGCTTTAAACAGAAACTGGGACACGGTGCTTTTGGAACAGTTTATAAAGGGGTCTTACCATCAGATCATCGGAGGTTTGTCGCGGTCAAGAAGTTGGACAAAGTGGTACAAGAAGGAGAGAGAGAATTCAAAACAGAAGTAAGTGTGATCGGCCAGACTCACCACAAGAATTTAGTCCGATTGCTTGGTTATTGTGATGAAGGGGAGCACCGGCTTTTGGTATATGAATACATGAGCAACGGCTCCTTAGCAAGCCTTCTGTTCGGGATCTCTAGGCCCGATTGGAACCAAAGAGTACAAATTGCATTTGGAATTGCAAGAGGGCTAATGTACTTACACGAAGAGTGCAGCACCCAAATCATCCATTGTGATATAAAGCCTCAAAACATACTGTTGGATGAGTACTTCACGCCCAGGATATCAGACTTCGGATTGGCAAAGCTTTTGTTGGCTGAGCAAACTCGAACTGCACGCACAGGCATAAGAGGGACAATCGGGTACTTTGCTCCTGAATGGTTTAGGAAAGCTTCCATCACGGTTAAGGTAGATGTTTATAGTTTTGGGATGATGTTGCTCGAGATCATTTGTTGCAAGTCAAGTGTTGCATTCGGCATGGGTCAAGAGTTAGCACTAGTAGATTTTGCCTATGATTGCTACTGCAAAAGAAAGCTAGACAAGTTGGTCGAAAATGATGAGGATGCAAGGAGTGACATGAAGAGAGTAGAGAGACTAGTGATGGTTGCAATTTGGTGCACTCAAGAGGATCCTTCAATCAGGCCTTCAATGAGAAAGATCACACAAATGTTGGAGGGAGTGCTTGAAGTTTCAGTTCCTCCACGACCTTCAATATTTAGGGTTGGTTTGGGATGTCCTAAAAAAGTGCACTTTTTGACTTATTGGTGGGTTTAGGTTGGATTTGGGTTGGGTTTGATGTGATGTGTTAGAGAGGTGATGTGATTTAAATAAGATGATGTGACTTAAATAAGATAGTGACTTTTTGACTTTTTGGCTTATTTAGTACATGCCAAACTAGCCCTTAGTACATCTTGATTCTTAAATAGTCCAAGTTCATTTGCCTTCACATAAGCACATTTCAAGTTACTTATTTCTTTGTCATTTAAAGTTGTAAGTAGGAATAGTCTAAAGGTTCCTATAAGTTGTTGAGATTTTCTATTATAAATAAACTCAATTTGGCTTCCAAAAAAGAAAAGAATATGTAGATTTGATTTCAACATTCTGTCTTCTTCTTCTTTTTTCCTCTTTCGCCTGTCTGTTACATGTTTTATCTCCAATACCTTATTCTTAACAAACTCTCACTATAAAGAATGTGGTGCAACAAAAATTGTTGACAGCATAATTATATATATATATATATATGTGCGTGTGTGTTTTTGTGTTAAGCATTGAGTCACTGTTGATTTTAATTTGACAAATTTGGGGATTTTTGAGTGTGTTATAGATCAATAGAAGATGGAATAATAGCTGAGGGTTTGTTGACTGATGTTTCGTGGATTTTTCTTTCTCACTCGTTTTGCACGAGGTCTTTGATGAGAGTTAACTAACACTGCTGAATCTTTCATTAGAGGTAATAATAGGATCATCATCATCTCTTTCTCATTTTCCTTCTTAATCAATCTCTTGAGAAGTACACATTGCCTCAGCATATGTATCCTTCAATTTAGGCTATTAGGTTTTTGGCCATTCCATTGATGTCTCTTTTCTTCAATTTAGTATAAATTAGGCTTGTGTGTTGTTGGTTGTGATGAATTGTTTATTGTTTATGTTGAATTAGTGCTTTGCTTTGTGTTTTGGATACCTAACTAGGCTCTTTTTTTTTTTTTTTTTTTTTTATTTTTTTATTTTGTGTTTTGAATGTCCAATAAGGATGTCAATTTTAGGATTCTGTTTTCAGTGTGATTTGATTAGCAGAAGAGAATGGGATCTCTTATAAGCCAGATCAAATTGTATGAGTATGCTGTTTGATTACCATGTTTTGTGTTGTTGAATGAATATTTAACTTTTTATGAAGTCAATTGATAAGTGATAATGGCTTCAAAGTCCTTTTAAAGAAAAAAAATATGCAGTAAAGTTGTTAACATCAAAAAATCAATACTAAGTCCTTATCTCTTTTTGCGTTAGTTATAAATGAATCCATTAGGAACATTCAAGAGGATATCGTATTATTTGTAGACAGTATAGTTTTAGTTGATGACATAAGAGGAGTAAACTTTAATCTAGAATTGTGGAGAGAGAATTTAGAATCTAAAGAATTTAAGTTAAGTTGGATTAAGACAATAGTTTGCACACTGCTTCAGGATTGAAGTCCTATTCCTCCACTTGATAAATCTTATTTTGTTTGAGCACTCTATTTCAGGGGAAAGTGAACCCTACTCAGTGTGAGGCCTTTACTATGGTTTGCACTCAGGTAAAGTTTACTGTCTTATTCTGGTTTACTTAGATGATAAACATTAATTGGAGAACTCAGTAGTGATTTCTATATTGCTCCATTTAATTTTGATTAATTGGATATATGTTGTGTTTGCGTTTTTGAGGAAGATGTTTCTGTCATCACCTCTGAACCTAGACAAAACATAACCTTGAATTTGCTTTCATTTTGCATTCATTGATGTGCAAATTAATTTTACTGTGTCATGTTGATTTTAACATATGATTTTTGAATGCAATGATCCCAGAGCTTTTCTGTTAATGATTTCAGATCCATCATCTATATTTAATCATGAGATTAAATATAGTCGAAGATGTTTTATTAGATCTATATTTAATCATTTCTAATTTTCCTAATGTAGTCGAAGATGTTTTATTATATCAAATATGTTGGGCTCAGTAATGAAACGCCATATGGTGTCATGAAGTTTCTTCACACTGCCAAATGTGGGCCTAGTTTTCCCTAAGATAGTATCTTTACAGGTATTATATGGTCAATTCTAGGTCAGAAATTAGCAACCCATCATTGTTGTGTGTGTGCATGTGCTATCTGCAAATTCAATGTTTCTAGTTGATTTCTATGCTCATACATTGTGAGCAACTTGACTTCACCAGTGATTTTCATCATCTCAAACTTATAGAAAGTAGAAACTATAAAAATGTTGTGTTAGGAGATGAAATGAGTGATCATATAAACTGGAAAAGTTTCTTTTCTCCTTTGTTGCTTTTTGGATGAGATCCATATGTTTTGTAGCACAGAACAGTAAGCAGGTTTACCTTGACAAGTATTGCTAAGGCAAGCTTGTCTTCTGAAGCTTATAGTTGAATATATTCAATTTTATTTTTATTTCCATATTAGTTTTGTGTGTGAAGCATAGCTGGCTTACAGTTTGCTGCAAACCCCAAATTTGATGAGTTAGGGATGCTTGAGTTTATGTTTTATGCCTTTTCTGGATGAGCATTAGTTTATATGTTTTGTATTCAACCTACTGTATATCTTTCTATAACCTGCTTATGGCCAAGCCCTTTATATAGAACATGGATAACAAAGTTGGGACGGGTCATGAAATTATAGTGTTTTATTTTTTGGAGTTTGTGTCGGCAGGCTTTTGGGTACAGTTTACAAGACGATAAATAGACTTAAATAAGTGGGAAAAAGTTGACTATTGAGAAGCTAGGGATGAAATGTTTTTTAACTTTAGCATTAGACCGGAGTGGTTATTGGAAAATGCTGTTAGAGGCTCTAGTTTGCTGAGGTGGTGGTGGGTTGGATCTTGGTTAAAGAAACTGAGTCCTATTTGAGTAATTTGTGCTGTCTATGAATTTGCTTGGGCATAGTCATTGGAGTAGGGTTAGGGTTTAAGTAAGTTGGCGCTTTGCTGATAAAAAAATGGTCATCTTTTGTGAAGGTTTAGGAGAAGGTTATAACCAGTTTTCATGCCAAGATGCTGGCCATCTATAAAATGGGAAATGTAGCCTTAGTAAATTCTTCTTCAGAACACTAGTGAGAAAACTGTCTTTGGAAGTTGAGCTTACCTTGTTTGGGAATATATTTCTCATGAAGGTTTTACATTAAACAATCAATACATCATTGAATTTATGAGGTAATTTCTGAGGTCAATGCATTTGGACAGTGAGGTTTTTTTTTTTTGGACGAATTGGATTAGTTTGGATTAGCATTCTAGGATTGTTTAGTTTTGGGATTATATTATTTTCCCATGCAGTAGATTGTCTTTGTAGTGATGACTTGCTTTCTGTTTTTCTGCCATTTATTGTCTTATTTATGAATTTCCTGTTGATACTGGTTCTTTTATTTGCAGTCCTCAACATATGGGAAAGTTCTTGTGCTTGATGTCATTGTTCAGTTGACTGAGAAAGATGAATGTGTCTATCAGGAGATGATAACTTATCTTCCCCTTTGTTCAATTCAATCCCCCAAAAACCAAAACTGTAATTTTCATAAATCATGGGTTCCATAGTTCATGATGAGTTTACTGTTTCTATTTTTATTCAAATTTAATTTCAAATGACATATAGCTATACTTAGATTATTGAAATTATAATGCAATTAAGTGTGAGGAACCTTTTGAATCCATGGCAGCTTCTTTTTTTCTTTTCTTTTATTCTAGTTGAACTTTAATAGGCATATGTACTTAGAGATACATTTGAAGTTAAATGTCCAACTACGCATAATTGTTATGGTGAAAAAAATATACTCTCTCTGATTACTAATCTACCAAGAGGTTTGAGGTTTGAGGAGTACTGTGGAAGTGTGACGAGACTTCTTCCTTAGGGATAGTTGTCGAGGAACAGGGTCTATAGGTGCCCATATTCCCCACTGTTTGGCTTTGAGAATCCTCGTGTGCAACTGCATATTGCTGATGGTATGTGAAAAAGATGTTCTAATTATTTTTTACATGCAGTTTAGTGAATATGTGCATCTGAAATCTTATTATCCATTTTATATGGATCCATTAATCTAGGTTATTAATAATTTTACGTAATTAACGCCCCTAATTGTATAGCTGATTATATAGCTAGACTTTCTTGTTGATCTTCTTTTCATTTTTGTGGCAGCTGTTGAATTTTTACGGAATGTACCTAAAGGAAAGTATGATGCAATTATTGTTGATTCATCAGACCCTGCAGGTATGTTTGTAATTCAAACTTTCTGCCTGTTTTCCGTTTTCCTATTTATTTGCCTGTGTTACAGTGCTTTTCAGAATGTTACTTAACAAATGCTTCATGATCTCAAACTATGCGGAAAAAAAAAAAAAATAATTGATTGACAGTTGTCTTAGTTTTTCTTTTATATTTCTAGTCCTTGAAATTTAGGACCATATGTATTCACAATATGGAAGGTTATCTGAGTTTTCTCTTGATTTTTCTGCTATTTGGAATATAGACACATGATTATGCATATGGGTAGATGTTATATAATTTCGAACACCATGATTAAGTGATCCCATAGTTAAGCCTGTAGTTGCTTTCAAGGTAATTGAAACTCTTGTTGCAAATCACTGATCTGCCATAGAGAGAGGTCACTGGCATAGTTTTATTTTGATTATTTCAAGCTAAACTAACACATTGGAGTGCATTAAATTTTCAAGTCAAGTTTGATTTATGTTTTTGCAGATTTTGTTGAGGGAATAGTTGATATGATCGAGCGGTTGATGTTGGGAGCCAAATATTATGTTGCTCTTTTTTTTTTTTTTTTTTTTTGAAGACTTGAATTTTTTAGTACAGTGTATTTAAGGATGGTTAATGGATATTATAAATTTAATTAATTTGTTAATTTTGTTATTTTCATTTCCAAAAAATTGTTTGGTGGTTGTAATTGATTTTTTTGTTGTAGCAAATCCATATATGATTTTTTTTAATAAATAATTATTTGCGACAGTGAAACTATGGTCGCTAAAAGTGCTTTTAATTTTTAAAATTTTTTTGCGATGGCAAAATGGCTGTCGCAGACCGTTGTTTTGCCGTCGCAAAAAGTATTTGCCACCCCCACATTTGAGTCCCTCATGTGCGGTCGCATAGGCCGTCGCAAAAAGTCTTTTGCGACTGTATTTTTATTATTTGCGACGGCATGTGACGGTCGCAAAAAGTGTTTTTTTTAGTAGTGGTTGTTGAGATTTTCTATTATAAATAAACTCAATTTGGCTTCCAAAAAAGAAAAGAATATTTAGATTTGATTTCAACATTCTGTCTTCTTCTTCTTTTTTCCTCTTTCGCCTCTCTGTTACATGTTTTATCTCCAATACCTTATTCTTAACAAACTCTCACTATAAAGAATGTGGTGCAACAAAAATTGTTGACAGCATAATTAAATGAGTCACAAAACATAATTGCTAGCCCTGTTGGTTGGGAGTTTAAATAAGTACTAAGACCCCATTTGGGGATTTTGATGTTTTGTTAAAATGCCAAAAAATTATTATAAGTTGTTATATTATTATCTCTCATTTTCTGCACATCTTTTTTTTTTTTAAAAAAAAGTTAATTAAAATAATCAGTTATCAAACGGGACCTAACAATTAGTAATATATATCATCACTCTAGTGAGATATTTCTTGTTGCATCCCTCAAGTCTTTAGACAATATCTCGAGAGTGTTTGTGCATTTTCATATATTTGGAGAAAGTGCTTGAATTTACCACTATGGAGTGGTGAGAGTTTGTAAGTGTCTAGGGCTGTATAAAAACCCGAATCACCAGCCAAAATCGATCTATCCTTTTCTAAAAAGCAACAAATGGTCGGTTTCGTAGAACCAAACGGTCAGTTGTGGGTAACATATGTAAAAAAAGAATAATGTTATATTCATCAATTGGTATACCAATTAGTGTATTAACAGATGATATGACATAATTTTAGAGTTTTGGGTATTTGTAATTTATATAATGTGTAATGCCCCACTATTTATTCCACGGATAACGTTACCAAAAACTCTTATTATACAATTTCAGAGATAACAAACGGAAGTTCTAATATATATCAATATGGATAAATAAAAGAAGATTCTTTCATTCGTATACGTAATGAATGCAGCATGTGACATAATTAAATAAATTGCCCGCAGGCTTACATCATTACATAAAAGAAAAAGGGTTCAACCCTTTTACAACAACGGCATTCTGCCAGAAGATATAAGGCCCCGTGGCCAACAGATAAAGAATATCTTCAATCTTGAAAACATTTCTCGTCATTCACCTAAAAAAGGATTAGCAACGTGGAATGAACATAAATTCCAGTGGGTATCCCAACATGATTCTAAACAATAACAACTTACAGATAGCTATGATCATGAATGTTCCAACTCGTCCTACATAAATAATGTAATGGTTGGTACTAAAGTATATTTACATAAGTATATTTTTCCCAAAATCATCCAATTCGTTCAACAATACAGATAGTTCACATGTCCTTGTTTTCCATTTCAACAATATCACATAACAACTGTTTTGTTTTTGAAATAGATTAACAAAAGTTTTGATTTCCTCTTTTTACTTACAAACTAAATACGTAACCTACGTCCATTTCCAACACATTCATCACATTTTTTGGGCCTTAAGTCCAAAGTTAAAAAGATACTTTCAACAGTTTATTTGATACGCTCATATGTATACATAACATCCAGTACAAAAAATGAAAACAATAAACACCCAACATTTGCTTACTCAACATATAAGACAACTCAGTCTTCCTAAACCATAACCATCACAACACATGATATACCTAGATACATTGAGACAATAACGATAAACAAAACTCTGCTCTATCTGCCTTAAGCATGGTAAACCAAGGATATACTTTTCTATAACACAAACCAATTTATCAGTCACCAGGTGGAAGAGAATAGAACCTCTACCAATTTACCAGACACCCGCTAGAAGGTAATGGTACCTCTGCCAATTTACCAGACACCCGTTGGAAGGAAATGGTACATCTGCAAAGTTTTCCAGGCGCTAGCTGGATGGTACTGGTACCTCTTATTCTTAACGCAACCAATTTCTCCAAGCGCTAGTTGAAAGGTAATGGTACTTATTCTCAGCGCGTATACAGTTCTAACCATCATAATCTACCACAACATAAATAACCCGAGTGTACTACATACACATAATCTGTTCAATATCACAATGTTATCCTCCACCGATAACCAAGGACAAAACTTCTAAACCTATGTATTAAATACATGTGAAACAATAATCCGATTTTCATGAGACCTTGAGTCCCACAATAATTATAATAGTAATATTTAAAGGTTTCAAATCCAACCTCAAGTTCATTCTTAATTAACAAAAGATTATAATTTCATTTTCTTTTCACAACCAATTTCTACATTTCATTAAAAATCCACATCCATGATGTCAAAGCCACAACCCGATTCCATTTGACATAATCAATCCCAATTAGTCCCATCATCTTGGTTGACTCTCCACTTTAGCAATTTACACACTTACACAAGCCATATTAAATAAAGCATAACGATTATTCAATTTTACCATTGTCTAATTCATTAAGCTAATAATATTAAATTAAGGTTTTTTCCCTTTTTCAACATAAACACGTAAGACTACTCTCTAATTAACCAAAACAACTATCAATTACAAATTAGAAACCCCACATTATCAAACCCTAGATCTCTCTTACATGCTTTTCAAAAATTCATAATAAACATGTTTTTTGTGCAATAAAATCTATCACATATCTATCTATAGACGAAATATTGAAAAGGAGCAACTCAATCGCTACCTCTTGAAACAAAGAAAAGATGACCCAAAAATCACCGACGACAAAACAACGATCCGCTCAGATTAAAAGAAAGCCCTCGTCGAGCTCTATGTTTTTCTCTAAAGGACTAGGGTGAAAAAACCAATGGATTAAGAGTATTTAGAGATAGAAGGTAAGAACTTAGAGAGAGAGAGAGAGAGAGAGAGAGTGTGTGTGTGTGTGTGTGTGTGGATTTAGGGTTTTGAAATGTTTAGAGAGAGAATGAGATGAAAAAGTGACTCAAAAAGGTTCTCTTTCAGACTGATATATGCACAGACCACTTAAGCGACCAAAACACTGCTTGAGCGAACAGACACAAAAAGTTACAAGAGTATTTAGAGATAGAAGGTAAGAACTTAGAGAGAGAGAGAGAGAGAGAGAGAGAGAGAGAGAGAGAGAGAGAGTGTGTGTGTGTGTGTGGATTTAGGGTTTTGAAATGTTTAGAGAGAGAATGAGATGAAAAAGTGACTCAAAAAGGTTCTCTTTCGGACTGATATATGCACAGACCACTTAAGCGACCAAAACACCACTTGCGCGAACAGACACAAAAAGTTACACCGCTCGAGCGCACAATGACCCTCTCCCAGAAGTTCAAACCTCCAAAAGACTGCTCGAGCCTAAGAAGTATCGTTCGAGTGTAGATATCACACATCTATTAGTTTTGCAAATTGTAAAAGGCCGCTCGAGCGAACATACAAAAATCTTGGCAACAACTCATTGATAAACTAACTTTCCAACTTGTTCTAAACACAACCAACACTCCCAATAGCCAAATTCAACAAGCAACAAGATGGAAATGAGATGAACAACAATTAAGTACATGGGTCCTCGGATTCAAAAGCAAGAAAATAGGTCGGGTCTAAACCAGAATCATTATAATCTCCCCCCTTAAGGAATTTCATCCTCGAAATTAAAGATAAGGCCGCAACAAAGGTAACTCAATCACACGTAGAAGCTCGACTTCCATAAACGCCCAACACCCTCGAGTGCTTAGCACTGGAACACGGAAGGAAATCCCCACAATAAAAGTCTCAGTGAAACCACATAGGAAAGAAAACTCCCAATAGAATAAGGTCAGAGACAACACCCCTATATACAAATCTCAATAACACTAAAACACTCCTCAAACCAAACACCCAACCCAAAATTACCTATTTAAGCTAAGTCACTACACAACATTCATCATTCCAAGTAAAACATATGACAACAAAACTTTGTTTAAAGAAACTTTTCATCATTTTCTTGATTCTTTGAAAATCCTTCTCTTAAATGTAAAAAATTTCTCATAAGTGTCCAAAACTAACCACGATCATAAATCAAAATACACTTTATGCTTTCTAAGCAAAAGTCAAAATTTTTATAAACATTCGTTGAAAATAAAGGTGTCAATTGGAACACATGATCATCCACAAGTAAGGTGTACAGAACTATTTAGCGAAATTCCTTATTACAATTTAGATTAATTCCACAACATTTCCGTTTAACAAGATCATCCGAGGCTATAACACCAGGAAAAATTCATTTTTCAAATTAGGCTCAACAGTTATCATCTCACAACACCCATCGCCCTTACTGTGATGCCACAACAAATACATATGCCATATTTATAAAACAAGTATTAATAAAAATAACAACCGCATTATCAACACAATGAAACACAAGAAAGTTCATCATTTTAAAGTTCCAATGTATCATAAACATTAACATAAGTTATCTCCTCCTACAAGGCATAACATACTTGCAAAACAATGACTCCATAATACGTTACTCTAACCTGAGTAGTTCCACTAACTTGTAACAAGCTCCACACAAGCTACAAAACCATCGACACAAGACTCCATTCTTGTCAAACCACTCTAAGGCACTCACAGACAACCCAAATAACATGGAACTTTTTGCAATGATATAGGTGCCGTCGCAAAAAATGGTCTTTTGCGACGACATTTTAAACCGTCACCAATAAATACCTTTTGCGATGGTGGTGACCCCATCGCTAATGAATATACAAGAAAAATACAGAAACATTTGCGACGCCTA